TTTTCCCCAAAAAAACTATCAAGTTAAGAGGACAAAATAAAAAGAAAATTAAGTAGAAGATCAGGAACAGAGTTTGGCCTGTAGGACACATTGAAGGGGCAAACAATTCACCAGCAAAAATACTAAAAGGAGAGAGAGAAGTGAGTGGCTCAGTGTTGGGGAAAGGAGGTGGTGACAGCTGCACGACGAACAGAAAAGAATCAGAGGTGTCCCGAGCAGCTTCCGCCACTGACATTAAAAGTTAGATGAGAAAATAAACTGATTGAAAAAGCAGCTCAGCAAGAATAAACAGAAATTTAGACTCAGGACACTAAATCTCCAAGAACACGCCAGAACTCCTGGGGTCTTATTGGCACGTTCCTACGACGTGACTAAAAAAGACACACCATCTTTACATAAACTCTTCTGGAGAACAAATGAGGAACTCTACCAATTTGCATGATGAGAAGGACATAAATTTACAGTCCAGCAAAGAACGTGAAAGGTTCTCCGATAAACACACCTTCAAAAATCCCTCTTTAAAAAAAAAAAAAACTCACTGGGTAGGGAGAATCAAGATGGCAAAATAGGGTAAGGACACATTTAAACGGATGGAGAAATATTTAATCAGGATGAAGGACAGAGGACACATTCCAGGAAATAGGAGAGGACAGAACAACAGCAGAGGGGTACCTGGAGACTGACAGACACAGGAAAGCAGCGGGCACAGCGGTGTGGTGTCGCAGTGACCAATATTCCAGCGGCATTCAGCTAACGGCGATCTGAACTCCACCAGCAGCCAGAAGTTCACCAGCAACCAGGTGGGAAGGGACTTTCACTGGGAGCTTGGGAGGTGAACCCAGACGGGGAACTGTCCATCCTGCTGGTCCGTTTGATTTGACCAGGAGCAGAGACAGAGCAGCAGATCCCAGACGGACAGTGCGAGAACAGGGTGGATTTCACAGCCCAGTCAGCCCCCTAGAGCCGAGTTGGGCCCCATTTTGCGTAAGGAGGAAAGGGCAAGGGAAAGGACTGAGCATACACTGAGCTGGGAGTGAACTCATTTCTGACGCAGTGAACTGCAGCAACGTGGCATTCTAAAGGTTCCACCCGGGGCAGGTCCGGGTAGCGCTCAGACCTGACGGCCAGCAGATCAAGAACTGTAGCGCTGGTACGTCAGGCGCCGTTTTGCGGACTGTGGCAAATGCTTTAGGACTGCCGGGACAACAGTGAACTGCGCATGTGCTGAGCTCGCGAGAACTCACCGAGTTTTGTGGATTGAAATGCTCCCACAGGAAAATAATACCGACTGTGACATTGTACAGGTCAAAATAGGTCCGTGTGGCACCCAGACCTAACGGCCAACAGGTTCCGGCAAGATCAGCACCACCAACAAACTAGGTATATATGACACGTGGTGTCTCCCTAATCTTGGGACCTGCTCCAACTGGAAGTGGGAGAAAGGTTGCAGAGACAATGGTGCAGCCTCAGCACAGTATCACAGGAGGTGGAAAGTGGTGAGCCAGGAGCTGGCTGTGGAGACCACAGTGCAAATCTAACATAAGAACCCAGACCTAGGGGCCCGGCGGCATGGCCTAGGGGCTAAAGTCCTCGTCTTAAACGCGCCCCAGGATCCCATATGGGCACCGGTTCTAATCCCGGCAGCTCCACTTCCCATCCAGTTCCCTGCTTGTGGCCTGGGAAAGCAGTCGAGGACGGCCCAAAGCCTTGGGACCCTGCACCTGCATGGGAGACCTGGAAGACGTTCCTGGCTCCTGGCTCCGGTTCGGCACAGGCACAGCACCAGCCGTTGCAGTCACTTGAGGAGTGAATCATTGGACGGAAGATCTTCTATCTCTGTCTTTCCTCCTCTCTGTATATCTGACTTTGTAATAAAAACAAATAAATCTTTAAAAAAAAAAAAAAACCCAGAACTGGAACTTGCTGGAGGGAGTGGCACAAGTGGCTACAAGCAAAGAGTTGTGTGCCAACTGCAGTAAGTAAAATCGAACTGCAGACCTGTAGGTAACACAGCTTAGAAACCTGCCCCAAGGAGAAGACTCTGCTAACCAGAAGTACAATGACCAAGAGCAAAAGAAGAGACAGAGGCACAATGAATATTACTGAAAACTCCCCTGCAAAGGAGCAAAACCCTATGCCAACATCAGAGTTAATTGAGGAAGACATCGAGAAAATAGGGCACACAGAATTCATAAAACTCATTTTCAAGCTTCTAATCAACAACGAGAAGCACATACAAGAGCTCAAAGAATTTAAGGAATATTTTACACAAGCAATAGCAGCAATAAAGCAAATCAAGGCTGATGTATCCGAAATTAAGAACACAGTAGCGTTGGGCCTGGCACGATGGCACAGTGGTTAAGGTCCTTGTCTTGCACGCACCAGGATCCCATATGGGCGCTGGTTCTAATCCCGGCAGCCCCGCTTCCCATCCAGCTCCCAGCCTGTGGCCTGGGAAAGCAGTTGAGGACGGCCCAAAACCTTGGGACTCTGCACCCGCATGGGAGACCCGGAAGAGGCTCCTGGCTTCGGATTGGTTCAGCTCCAGCCGTTGCGGCCGCCTGGGGAGTGAACCATCAGATGGAAGATCTTCCTCTCTGTCTCTGCTCTCTGTATATCCGCCTTTCCAAAAAAAAAAATTCTATAATAATATGATATGAATAAATGAAAATGATGTGATTCTCCCAATATCATATTCAATCAGCAAAATATAAAATCTTATAATTTGTCAAAAAAAAACAGTAGCGCAAATTAAAAATATAGTTGAGAGTCTCCAAAATAGAATGAAGCAAGCAGAAGAAAGAATCTCAGAATTGGAAGGTATTTCCTGCCATCAGGGAGAAGCAAACAAAAAGCTAAAAGCAGAGGTGAGTCAGGCCAAAAAAAGTATTCAAGAATTGAAAGACACTATTAAGAGGCTAAATATAAGAGTTATGGGAGTCCCAGAAGGTGCAGAAAGAGAAACTGGTTTTACAAATATATTTAATGAAATAATAAAGGAAAATTTCCCTAATCTAGAGAAAGAATTGGGAAACAAGATCCAGGAGGGGCACAGAACTCCCTACAGGCCTGATCAAAAGCGATCTTCACCAAGACACATGATCATTTAGCTCTCTTCAATCGAACATAAGAAAAAGATCTTGAAATGTGCATGTGAAAAAAATCAATTGATAGTTAAAGGAATGCCAATTAAACGCACAGGAGATCCCTCAAAGGAAACTCTACAGGCTAGAAGAGAACGGAGTGACATATTCCAGATTCTAAAAGAAAAAAAAAATTGCCGGCTTTAGATAACATATCCAGCAAAGTTTTCTTTTGTCTTTGAAAATGAAATAAAATTCTTCCACAGTAAAGAAAAGTTAAAAGAATTTGCCTCTTTCAAACCTGCTCTACACATGATACTTCAAGATGTTCTCTTGACAAAGAAAAGGAATAGCACCAAACAAAACCAAAGGCAAATGGAAAGAACATCCCAGTAAAACGATAACAGAAGACTAAACCATTGAACAACCAATTCTTAAAATGACAGGACCAAAGTACCTCCCATATACATTAACCCTAAATGCAAATGGCTTAAGCTCAATCAAACGTCATAGAATTAGTAGACTGGATTAAAAAACAAAGCCCATCTATTTGTTGTTTAGAAGAGACACAGTTCACCAACAAAAATCAGTGGAAACTATATCGCATGGGTTTCGATGTTATCTGTATGTTTCATCTCTTCAAAACACTTTCTTATGATTAAATTCTTCAATGACTCATAGATCATACAGTAGCATCATTTTCTGCAAGAAGGTTCTTAATTTTCATTTCTTCAGCTACACGTTAATCATTTAGTAGCGTGTTGTTTAACTTCATGGTGTTGTTAATTTCTTTTTTCTTCCTGGTATTGATTTTGTTTTGTGGCTTTTCATTTAAGGGGATGTATAGTAGCTGTGTAATGAAGACTGTCATATCTAGTAACATGTTATTTAACTTTTGGGCATTGTAACTTTCTATTTTTGATTTTGTATTATGACTTTTCATTTGAGATGGAGACTAACATATCTAGATGTGAGGATACAATGTAGTATGCATTTCTGCTTCCAGACTAAGATGGACTTACAATGAAACTGTTTACTATATCTTGACAATAGGATGCTGGACTCTCTGCCATTGTCCATGCCCACAATGATGGACATATGATTGTGTATGAAGAATTATACGTTAGTAATGATGTAGAACAACTAGGTGTGTGTGGGGGGGTTGGAGGAATTGGGGTTGGGATAAGGGAAATACCAGGAACCTATGGAACTGTATCATAAGATGACAATAAATAAATAAATAAACAAACAAACAGACTATTTTTAAAAAGCTCACTGGAACTGGTGTTGTGGCATAGCTGTAAAGCAGCCACTGTGGCACCAGGACCCTATATGAGTGCCCGTTCATGTCCCTGTTGCCCCACTTTCTGGCTCCCAGCTCCTGGTAAAGTAGTGAAGAACAGTCCAGGTACTTGGGTCTCTGCATCCCATGGCAGATCCAGAGGATGCTCCTGGCTTCAGATTGGCCCCACTCTAATAGGATTATGGCCGTTTGAAGACTGAACCGGCAGATGGAAGATCTCTCTCACTTGCTCACTCTCCCCTTTCTCTCTGTAACTTTGCCTCTCAAGTGAATAAATGTTTTTCTTTTTAATTAAACAATAGAAACAGCTCATCTAACTCAGCAACATATAGATCAAGAAAGAGTTGACTTGTGCAGGATTGCAAGTTCAGGAAACCTATGAATTACTCAGATTTACAAGTGAAGCAAACTGAAACGCCCTCTTCAGATGTGGAGGTTGAAGGTCCATGCCTTCCACTGTCAGTCTCCAGCACAGAAATTCTAGCAGTGAGAACTCTCGCTGGATAAGAACAGACATGACACACATTGGAATATGAGTCTTTTGCCATTTCTGCATTGGAGGAATGAAAACAGACCACGGTGATGACTGCCGTGTCCTGTTGTTGCCCCTTCACACCCCACTACAGGCCTTTGGGGGCATGACTGTGCCGTTACTTCTGTGTTACACAAGTGAAAGGAAAAGGTTATTTCCTAAGTCTGCCCCCACTAAAGGGTGTGGCTTCCGAAGTCAGAGCAGCAGGTGCCTTTGTTAGGGGGAGTGGAGTCAGCAGGAAAGAACACAGTCCCACTGGTGGACTGTCAGACGCTTAATTCCCAAGCCTGACTTGGTCCTGGGGAAGAGACAAGACCCCAGAAGGCAAAATCCCGCCCCCCACCCACCCACCCACACCCAGGAAGGTCTGCTGCAGGCTCCCGGGAGCATAGAAGGCACCAGAATAGAAAGCAAATTTATCAGTTGATTTGTGCCCTTGGTTCTGAGTAGCCTGCAAACATTCTCCAACTGCATTGATCAGACTGAATTTTCTGCCAGCTCTCAGATAGGCAAGTGCACTTAAAGCTAAGAAAATCACACCATCCACAATTTTCCTCTAATCTCAATTACTCCCACTTCATTATATCTTCATTTTAAATTTTATACCTCAAATTTTCATCTAAATTCTATATTAACCCATCCTCATTCCTCCCTCACATCCATACCATTAAATACCCATTCAATCCTAATCCTATTTTTACCCTTTAAACAACACATAATTAAATCCTAACTCTAAACCTTAATCTCTTATTATATATCATCATATACTCCATCCTCTTCAATTCTTTCCTAATCTTTTATTTCTTTTATTTAAAAAACACCCCATACAACCAAAACCCCCCCCCCCCCCCCCAAAAAAAAAAAAAAAAAAAAAAAAAAAAAACCCCCAACCCAAAAAAAAAAAAAAAAAAAAAAAACCCCAAAAAAACCCCCCCCCCCCCCCCAATATATTTATTTATATATATATTTTGGTTTTTTTTTTTTTTTTGTTATATATTATTATTTTTTTTTTTTTTTTTTTAATATCCCCCCCCCCCCCCATTCTGGCGAAAAGGCAGCACTCAGAAAATCTGCAAATGGTCTGGCCTTGACAGTGTCACCCCGGGAATGCCGAGGGACCCCCTCTTCCTCTGGAGCCCCGAAGCAGCCCAGCAAGCAGAGGTCCTCGGCCAGCTTCTCAAAGAGGCTGTTTCTCCTGAAGAAGTCGCTGTTGACAGGGTCCAGGTGCAGGGCTGCAGACACGGCACACAGGGTATGCAACACCAACTCCAGTGTCTGCCGGGGAGACACAGCCCCCCATGTCTGCAGCGGGGGCTCCTGAAGGGAGCCCTCTAAGTCGGAGAGCAGAGACAGCAGCCCGTTAAACCCGCTGGAGACTCTGAAGGCAGCGCGACCCTTGGGGGTCTCCAGGATCCGGAGCAAAGACTGAAAAATCCAACAGAAAAAAATAAAAATCAACTCAAGGTGGCCAGTGAACTTGCCCGAGCACCCCACACATCACGCCCTGTACTTGGCCAAGAGCTTCACGAAGGGTGGAAGGCCCGTACTGGTCATCTTAGCTTTATAGCTAGGTTGCCCACAGTGCCAGCCTTCAAATGGCCATCCTAGGGGTCACTTGACTGTCTTACTCCAGAAAGCCTTCTCTGATCCCTGTCTCACTCCCTCTCCTCCTCTCTGGAATGAGTGCTCACACTGCCCTCTCCAGCTCCCTAAATCACGACTCTCCTCACACTCGAGGGCAGTGACTTGAAAACTGTCCCAGTTGTCCTGGAGTTCCACAAGCTCAGGAAGCTCAGCATGAGCAGCCGTGGAACACACCTGGGCTTAGCAACAGACTCCCAACTGTGAGTGGCGGATGCACTGTGAAATTCACATAGCACCAGTTTGTTACTGCTCATCTTCCTCTCTGGGCAAACATGAGTGCACTTATTAAAGGAAAAGAGAAAATACAGTGTATCTATTTAAAACCTGGTGTGAGACAGTGACAGCTTGTGGGGCGAAGAGAAATCACCAATGGTGCTAACCACACAAAGCTGGCAATGTGTTCTGAAAAGGAGGAGAAGGACTGGATTGCAAAGCACTCACAGAAAAAGTGAATAGGCACTTGCTAAAGGTGCAGGCTAACTAGTCAACAGGAAGCCCCAGGCTTTGGGAGAGAAAGGCCACTCTTCAGCCTCAACTGCAAAACGCATGCACCCTTACTTTTAAAACCAGTGATTAGTTGAAAGAAATAGTGGGTATCTGTTCTGGATTTTGTTCTCTGACTTTGGAGTCCTCTACAAAAAAAACCCCAAAAACCAAAACAAACTGGGGCCGGGGTTGTGGTGCAGGTTAACTTACTGCATACAACATGGGCATCATACATGGGAATGTCAGTTCCAGTCCCGACTGCTCCACCTCTGATCCAGCCCTCTGCAAATGCTCCTGGGAAGGCAGCAGGGGATGGCCCAAGTGCTGGGCTCCTGCCACCCATGTGGGAGACCCAGATGGAGTGCCTGGATTCTGGCTACATGAAGCCTGGCTCAGGCCAGGCTGTTGCAGTCACTGGGGGGAAATGAAGCAGTGGATGGAAGGTCTTTGTATCTGTCGCTCCTTCTGTCTCTCTGTTGCTCTGCGTTTCAAACCAATCAGTCTTAAAAGAACCCCATGCTGCTTGGTAAGCCATGAGCGGCACAATGGAGGCAGAACACAGGATCATTGTGAACTGTGAATGTCACCTAGTTCAGGTGGCCACAGAGCTATAAAAAGACTCCCATGGCCCCATCTACCATCTGGGGAGAAATTGTTCAAACAAACAGCAAAGACTGTAGTAACTACACAAGACCTCAGATGTGTTTAAAATAGATCAACCTAAATCCTTCAAACTGATCTTTTCCCAGTTGTTAAAAATTAAGTAGGGCCAGGCATTTGGCCTAGTAGTTAAGATGTCTGGATCCTATCTATAGATGCTGTCCACCTAAATTCAGTTTCCAGTTAGGCTCCCGACTCTAGGTTCCCGCCCAGGCAGACTCTGCGAGGCAGCAGAACGGCCCAGACAAATGGGCCCCTTCCACCTACAGGGAGGGCACAGATGGAGATTCCTCCCGGCCTAGCCTCAGCCTGCAGGCATCTGGGGAGCGAACCAGTGGCTGGGAGATAGCCATGTCTCTCTCTGCCTCTTCTTTTCTTTCTCCCCGTGTGTATCTCTGCCTCTCAAATACATGTCTTAAAAGATTTATTTATTTTTATTTGAAATGCAGATCCTCAGTGAGAAGGAGAAACAGAAAGAAAAAGCTCTCATGCACTGGTTCAGCCCCCAAATGGCTGCTATAGCTACAGCTGAGCTGAATAGAAGCCAGGAGTTTCTTCCAGGTCCCAAGGCTCTGAGCCATCCTCTGATGCTTTCCCAGGCTATAAGCAGGGGGCTGCATTAGAACTAGACCAGCCAGGACTAGAACTAGCACCCATGTGGGATGTTGTCACTTGCAGGTGGAGGATTAGCCTGTTGAACAACCACACTGGCCCCTGAAATACATTTTTGAAAATTACCAATGACACTACGCTCTTCTCCTGGGTAAGGATGTGACCTGACAATGTCTGGAAGCTTCTCAGTGTCCAGGAGAGAGCGATGTTTGCAGATGACAAGCAAGGCCATGGCTGGCGCACGTTTCTCCCAGAATGTTGGCCCTCCACAAGTGTGAAAGCTCGTGGTGTAGACTAAGCAAAGCCTGCCTCCTGTGGCCACCTGGCCCCTCACCCTGCCTGCAGCCAAGAGAAGCGGGGCAGGCTCAGTGAAGGTGTGGCAGCCTCATGGAGCAACTTACTCCCCACAAACACATTCTGATCCCAACATGGGTGTGGGCGCTTCCAGCCACTTCCTCCCCACTGATCACACACAAGGTTCCGTGCCAGTGAGGGGCCCCGCAGGCGTCCCACCTGTTCAACCTGACCTTGCCCCTGATCATGGGATGTACAGGACAAAAAATGAGACAATCACAAACACTTGTGGAAATCTTGAGCTTGCGGACGTTAAGCCATCTCCATGCATGTGCCTGTGTTTAGCGGCTAAAAGCCCTTCGAGCTTTGTTGAAGGTGGAGGGGAAGCAATGAATGAAAACTGTTGGGTGAATGATGGGGCGCATGACCAGACAAATACTGAAACAGGAGTGGCAGGAAAACCAAACATAACGAGACTGTAAGCAATGGTCTGAGCTCTCGATGAACTTGAACCTCCTCTTTGCTTTAGGATCTAACTATCCAACTTGCTGCCAGACACTGCGCAAAACCACGCTGTCATTCTAGGAGAGTTAGGGGCCTGTGTTAGGAAAAGAAGCAATCCAGCAGCAGCAGCCTTCACTGTGGCCCGTCTCTCAGAGGGTCCACCACTTGTAATCCCTTGCCGGCCATTTTTCTCCTGTGGGGCGGGGGAGGAGCGGGGGAATGGCTGTCCTTAATTGTTGCTTTGTTTGATTTATTAAATTCAGAGTCATTATCTAAAATGGGGGTAATCTCATTAGAACGTAGACTGCTTCTATTATTTCTTAGGATGGGGTTAATCTCATATTTGCAGAGTCATAAAGTAAAGAGTGCAAAACCCAATTACAAAGGCTTAATTTCATAGCAACTAAAGAGAAACATTTCTATCATAAAGGAAAATAAATACTTGGCGACTTCGGGAAGCGATTTGTCAGGAACCCAGAGCCTAGGAGGAGGGTCTCCATTACTGTCATTCAACTTTGCCTGCTAATGCATCACCGAGGCCTTCGAGTCCACGGAAGGGAGTAAATTCAATCAGCCGAAGTCAAAGTAATCAGGCTAGGGTTGACACATTTCAAGAAAGGTCAGCGTTAAGCACATTTGCTCGTCCTTAACTCAGTTAGCATGTCATCGTCTCGGAGTTAGTATTCCTCTAGCTTGGATCTATAAAATGGATGCCTGCAGCAAAGCGCTAACTACGTTACAACTAACAGGATTTATTTCACATTCTATTATTTGTTATTCCTCATAATTTTCCATGTGTCATGCTGGAAGACCGGTGAGGTAATACGATTAAACTTAGAGTTGAACAGCTAAATGTATATTAGCAAATCAATCTGAATTTGTGCATAACCCAATCACGGTCCCCCTGGCCACAGAGAGGAAATTCATTTGCTTACATTAGTCCTTAACTCAGTTATCATTTGCCAGAATTAGCAGGTGAAGTCTCATACGCTTTTGTGTTGTTGGGGGGAAGTGCCACTGGATTTGGGAAATGACTGTTCTTGGCTGGTCTCCCCCAGAGGTGGCTGGCACGGGGACGGGACACTGGGACTCCACAGTGTGATCCAGTTAACTAGACCCCTGGGTGCTGGCTGCCAATCATTTGGGATGGTTACCCTTTATCAGGGATCGGGGGGACTCCATTTCTTCTTGCCTCACTCCCACGTGTCCCCCTCTTCCTACATTGGACCCATTTTGTCAACACAAAACCTGCAGGCAGGAGCAGCTCTGAACATCTAAAATGAGAGATGCGGCCGGAAACAGCTTGTCTTACATCTTTGTTGCCAAAGAGCCAAGGGGGCTAAAGGGATCTCACAGGCATCAGATCCCAGCCAGCATTTGCAATTCCTCCTGTAAGTCAGCGGCAACCGTCCCTTCCCACGGGACAGTGGCAGCCGCCTGCCCACCCCCCAGACCTCTCCATTGCCCAGCTGTGACTTGGCATCCAGGGAGAAGATGGCCCATGGGAGCTAGCTATGACTTTGTTAAATAAGCTCTCCAAGTATTCGTCCTTACGGGATCTCTTGATTGTGTGGCTCTGAAATGATATTGAATCTGTAAAACACCATAATGGCCTTCCGCTGCTAATTCTGGAGGCACAATCCTATTACCCCAGGGCTGACACTCCAATAAAATGCCTCTGGGCTCCAGAGTCAACAAGACCAACTTTCCAGGAGCACAGAACACTCTTCTCAATATTGAACACAAAAATGCTTCTTCCCTCCCCACGAAGCAAAGCTTTCCTCTCTGGGGTCTCTCTGATGTTCACCATGGCAACGCCAGAAACAGCTCCTGGTCCCCTGAAAATCCCAATTCTTGATAACCACGGTGCTGCATTCCTGCTCCGATCAAAACGCACAAATCAAACTGAATGGAGACATATGGGATGCTACAGGGAACGTGGCAAAGACCATTCGATTTTTAGCTGCCGTGGTCAAGTGAAATTCCACCTTGCCACTTACCGGCTGTAGGATGCTAGGTTAGTCAACAAATCTCTATGGACACTCATCTGTTAAGACCAGAAGTTTGTTATAGCAAAAGTAAATCTAGATTTCTTTTCTTTTCTTTTTTTTTTTTTTTTGCACCAAAATAAACTTATGTCCATTCTACTTTCTACTAACTTTTGAAGTACCTGTGTTTTATTTGAAGACTGAACCACAACAGGGACAGTGTTGTGGCCAGTTGGTTTCAGCCACTAACTGCAATGCCAGTATCCCATGTCAAGACCTGCTGCTCCACTTTTGATCCAGCTAATGGCCTGGGAAATTAGCAGAAAATGGCAAACATCCTTGCCCCGCTGAACCCACATGCAAGACCGAGAAGAAGCTTCATGGATCCTAACTTCAAACTCATTCAGCTCGGGCCTGGCGCAGTAGCCTAGCAGCTAAAGTCCTCGCCTTGAACACGCTAGGATCCCATATGGGTGCTGGTTCTAATCCCGGAAGCTCCACTTCCCATCCAGCTCCCTGCTTGTGGCCTGGGAAAGCAGTCGAGGACGGCCCAAAGCCTTAGGACCCTGCACCCATGTGGGAGACCTGGAAGACGTTCCTGGCTCCTGGCTCCGGATCGGCACAGCACTGGCCATTGTGGTCACTTGGGGAGTGAATCATTGGACAGAAGATCTTCCTCTCTGTTTCTCCTTCTCTCTGTATATCTGACTTTGTAATAAAAATAAATAAATCTTAAAAAAACTCGTTCAGCTCTAAGAATTGCACCAGTTGATGAAAGAATCTCTCTCTCTCTTCTCTCTGTAACTCTGCCTTTCAAACAAATAATCTTTTAGAAATGAAAGAAAGAAAAAAATAGTATAAACCAATTTGAACAGAGATATTGACAAATAAGTGAGTTAGGTTGATAGTTATGTAATCTGGGGAGTCAGAGGAATTTTACTTATGCAAAAATTTATTTACTTTACTCACAAGTCAGAGTTACAGAGAGGGTGGGGAGAAACAGACACAAAGACATTCTTCCATCCACTGGTTTACATCCTAAATGGTCACGATGGTCAGAGTTGGGCTGATCTGAAGCCAGGAGTCAGGAGTTTCCACCATGTCTCCCACATGGGCACAAGAGTCCAAGGACTTCGACCTTCCTCCTCTGCTTTTCCAAGCATGTTAGCAGGAAGCTGGATCAGAAGTGGAGCAGCCCAGACTTGAATGGGTGACTGTATGGGATGCTGGCACCGCAGGCAGAGTATTAGCCTGATAACACACCATGCCAGCCCTGGAGCTTCACTAACTCATCAATACGTGGGATTTGCCAATGCCACAAAAATATGCTGTGGGCAGTCAAGTCGTTTTGCACACAAGAAGTCCCAGAGTAAGCTCCCTGCGGGAAGATGTTGGCCTTCTGCCACTCTTTCTTCAAATGGTGTAACACAAAGTACAGAGAATCTCTAAAAGTGTGACTGATGTAGGGCAGAGCGAACGAGAGGGATGATATTCATTATATTCGGTCGAGTATTTTGAGGGCTTTTGATGATTACTCACAATCCTGCAGAAGTATATACTTTTCTCCGTCACTCACATGCTACAGCCTAATCTCACTTGTTCTTCTGCACCCAGTGGTCCCACAGATCTGAGCACCCTTGGTTTCCTTCTCTGGCTCTCCCATTCTCCCCTCTGTGAGCCTCCCTCCAGCAGGAAAGAAAGCAACAATCTCTCCTAGTTTTCTACTCCCACAGTAGACCCTGGTTCGCACTATTAGCATAAGTCTATGGGCTCCCAGCGCCAAAAGCTGTGTCTTGCTCTGCTGCATCAAACCCAGCCACTGCGAGATGCCCAAAAGACCCTGATTAAGTCAACTAGCTGCCTAGTGAAGGGCTGCATTTCCCATCACTCCTTGCATACAAGTAGCTCAGATTCAGGGTTCTGTAGAAGTTAGTACGTGCCAGTTCTGGACTTAAACAATGCCTTGTGCAGTTCCTCCTGGCCTCTCTCCTCTGATCTGCTGGCTGAGTAAGACGCCCAGGTGACAGCTGTCCCCAGGGACAATCTCAGATCATTGAATGAACTAAAAACCAGAAAGAAATCCCCAACATGACCAGCTATTGGGGGATAGGATCTGTCGTTATCCAACGCAGTGGCCAATCAGGTGACAAGTGTGGGATGCTTGGTTCCTATCCAAGGGAAAGCCAATCCCAGAGGAGGCTTGGGCTTCACCTTGAGCAGGTCCAGTTTCAGCTGCAGCTCCCCTTGAGTGGATGAGCACAGGGCACCCACGATGATGCTCATGTACTCCTCGGCGTTGATGACTGACAGCTGTTCCAAGATGCTGAGCGAAGCCGCCCGGTAGCTCTCATCGTCCAGGAAGATCTTGATGAAGGGCACCATGCCATGGTCCTTTAGGACAACTGTGGGACAGATGGACAGTGTGGGGCCAGAGCAAGGGCAGGGGTCCTGGGAGGGGGATTCAGCACCTTAGTTTTAATCTCAAGGAAAGCTTTTTCTTAAAGTTCTCTGTAAGCCTCACCCTTGGTTAAATGAGATGAGGAAAATAAAAAAAAACAGTTCAGTTGAGAATCCTGTTTAAACTAAGTCTTTTGACACAGATCTCTCCATAGAAGATAATAGAAATATTCTCAAGACGCATGTACAGTCAAGTTTTGACTAGATCTACCTCTCCCTTGCTTTTCCTGCAAACCCCTGTCACAATTCTTACAGAAAACAAGTAGACATGCTCCTTTTGCAAGCATGAAATGATCAACCTTTGACATTTGATAGAATTCATCTATGAAACTTCAGATAAAGATGGCCAAATCCCCATGCCCACCCCTATGGCTTTGCTGATAAGTTTGCTACATAATACACAGATACATGTGTGTGTGTGTATATATATAATGCATAATTCTTTAAAAACCTTACAGTCACATGACCCAGGAAATTGAAACATTTTGTCTGGAAGGAGCTTCTGAGGACAGCGCGGTCTGGCTGTACATCAAATTACATTTCTTATAAATGACTAGCTGGCTCTGCTATGTCTTTTGCTTAGGATCTAAATTTCTGAAAGGATTATGGTCATTGCAATGGGATCTCTACAGATTTTGCTAGAAAACACCAGAAGGGGACCATCTGGTCTCACGCATTTGGACAACACTAGCTGGAGCATAGCCTCTTGGCTCTCTGACTGGATTCAACAGTCTTAGAGGTAAACAGCACTGGGCCCAGCGCAGTAGTCTAGTGGCTAAAGTCCTGGCCTTGCATGTGCTGGGATCTCACATGGGCGCCAGTTCATGTTCTGGCAGCCCTGCTTCCCATCCAGCTCCCTGCTTGTGGCCTGGGAAAGCAGTCGAGCACGGCTCAAAGCTTTGGGACCCTGCACCTGCATGGAAGACCGAAGAGACTTTGGGATCCTGGCTTCGAATCGTCTCGGCTCCAGCCATTGTGGCCGCATGGGGCGTAAATCAACAAACAGAAGATACTCCTCTCTCCTCCTCTCTGTATAGCTGACTTTCCAATAAAAAAATAAATCTACAATTTAAAAAAAAAAGAGGAAGAAAAAGAAGACAACGACGAAGTAACCAGCACCACCTCAGGTGTCTACCAAGGTCCTGGTGTTCTCTGAGCATCCACCAACAAATGGAGCTTAGCCCCTGCGTGGTACTGGCTATCCCTTGCAGCCAACCTTGCAGCAGCCTTCCGGGTCCCCAGGAAAGAGCCCATATCTTTCTAAGCAAAGGCAAGACAAAACTGGAGCCTCCTTACCTGCGTTCCGAACAGAGCCTTTCAGAAGTGCGACCACAACGTTCAGCATCACACAAGTGAGTTCTCGTTCCGGATCCTGAATGCCAAGACTGGACTCTCTGTTTCCTGCCATGTTGAAGAACCAACAACAAACATGAAGTGTCGTGGGCTGACTCCTAAACCTGTGGCTCGGGGGAGGTTGTCTAGGTTCTTGGGGAGACGTGAGTTCAATGCTTCCACCATGAGACAATGCACCATCCCAGGTCGTGAGAGAACTCTACCATGTGCCCGCAGCTGTGGTTTCTCCAGTATGAGCCCAGCAGCAGCTGCTGGCTGATGGGTTTTTCAAATCCAGATCCCCATCCCAGAGCTTCTGCCTTCGTATGTCTTGGGGGAGATCCTATATCTTGCATTTCCAACAAGATACAGGGGACACTGTTGGGTTGGCCTGGGAATAATTCTTTGAGAAGCATTGCCATAAATGAGAAATGATACATGGAGTTCCCCCTGCTTCATTTTCCCAGTGGGACATTCACACTTGGGAGGGAGGACCGCCAGCTCACACCAGAGCTGTGGAGAGATTCAAAGGATTCTAGGGGTATGGCTGGCATCGTAGTGCAGTAAATTAAGCTGTGGCCTATGACATCCCATATGGGCACTAGTTCAAGTTCTGGCCGTTCCATTTATGCTCCAGTGCCCTGCTAATGCACCTGAAAAAGCAGCAGAAGATGGCCCAAGTACTTACACCCCTGCATCCATGTAGGAGACCCAGAAGAAGCTGCTGGCTCCTGGCTCCAGCCTGGTGTGTGGTCATTTGGGGAGTGAAACCAGCAAATGGGAATCTGTGTGTGTGTGTGTGTGTGTGTGTGTGTGTGTGTGTGTGTGTGTGTGTGTAAAACTCTACTTTGAAAGTTAAATAAATCTTTAAGAGTGAGATTATGGGTAAAGAGGAGGCTCACTGGGCCCATGAGCACAAAACCAGGCCTTCTGAACAGATTCCCCAGTGCCAGGAAAATGCTTGACACAAATCAGAAGCCTAATGTGTGCTTGGGGAATGAACAGAAGTGGAGTTTATTAACTAGAGGATGAAGCCTCTAAGAAACAAGAAGATACATTTAACAACAGAAAGCACGGAGGAAGCCTGGGTGCAGTCACTCACAAACAGCTCAAAGGACTGAGAAACAAAGTGGATGTTGGGCAGCTGATAAAGCATCCCCAGCTAACACAGAGACAGTAGTCGAGGAGGCAGTGCACAGAATTCTCCGTGGGCCAAGCAAGGAAGGCAAAGAGGGCAACAGCATGGAAAGGCAAGACACTGCTGAGTGGTGGGCAGAGGCACCTAGCAGTACCAGGCCCCCTGGGGCAGCTCTGGCCCTAGGGCAAGCACCCTGGGGAGCACGTTGGGCCCATGTTCCCCCTGTAGGGTCTCTCAGTCTGCCATGTAGGAACACCAGAGCTGCAGCCCCGTAGGGACAAACTTGCACACCAGGCCCAGGAGCAGGTGTTTTCAGCATCTCATTTCAGTCTCCCAACATTTATTATGTAGACATGATGAGCCTCGCTCCATACAGCAGGAATCAGGCCTACCCTAGACCTGAGGTCCCCTGCCCAGAAATGCTCAGCTTGTAGCTAACATAGCCAGAACCCCAGCCAAGGCAGTCTGTCCTACACAGTCTGCCTCTTTGAGAGGCCCAGGACACAGACCTTCGTTGAAGGCTGAATTCTCAAAGCAGGTCAAGGTTACAGTCCTTAGCTCTTATCGGTGACTATAGAGGGGATGGGGAACACCGAAAAAAGGAGAGAAAGGTAGGGAGAGGTGAGAGGTCAGCTTCCAGCATCCCAACGTCCTGCGCCAGACTAAGCAGAGGATGTCAGGAGAAGGGGAAGCTTTTCACATCTTCCTTTGTATCCGCAAGATAGCACAAGCACCATGCAGGGAAGAAAGCAGGGTGGGGCATGGTGAGACCATGAGGCAGCCCCACTCCTGGGCCTCTGTCCATGACCTGGACAAGATCCTAGTGAGCAAGGGTTGAGGCAGGGACAAGGAAGCATTGATTGCCCAGGGGTTACAGGGCCCATAAAGATAGGACCCAGACACAGAGAAAGAGCCTGGCCAGCAAAGTCAGAGTATCCCTTGTCCCAACAGGAAACCACTTGCTCAATGGCACAGAGGACAAAGCCAAACCTGCTCACTCCCAGCAGAACCTGTCGGGTTCCCAGGATCCTCAGCCTCTCTGTATTCCTGCTTCCCTCTGCATCCCTGAAGACCCAGCAGCCCCTGCTGTCAGCATCTACCTACCCAGACAGTGTCCAGGGTAGGAGATGCTGAGTGCTAAGGGTCCATCAGGCTGTTAGCCCTGGAAGCCTATGCAACGCTGCACCGGGCTCTTCAAGGGGAACAATGGAAGGCTACTGCCCCTCGTGTGTCGGGTGTCCCAAGAACACTGATAAACCATCCCCTGACTCCGGCACCCTGTGACATGGGAGAGGACAGCCAGCTTGGCACACCGACCAGGTAGGACTAACACCGGCCCCCCCCACCGCCCATCCACCTGCCTCTGGGGGCACCAGCCCTGCACCTGACTTCCTCATGATCTTGGCTTGCTTCCGCAGCTGCGCCAGCAACAGGCCCAGGAGCCCCGAGTCGCGGAAGATGTCAGTGAAGAGCAAATCCCTGCCCGCAATCCGGAGAACACTCTGTAGGGCCACGAGGGTACAGGACGGCACGGGGCTCTCCTTGATCAGACGCTGCACCTTCCGCAGGATCTCGTGCGGCACGTAGTGTAGCTCAAACACCAAGGCCTCCAGCAGCTGGAAGAACTGCACTTGCACCGGAGCTGGTTTCTGGGGCACGATCTCCACAAACTGCGAGATGGGCTGCAGCGTCCACTCCAGCAGAAAGAAGTTGCGGGAGTTCCAGGCCCACATGGTCCTGATGGCCGACAGAACTTGCATACAGAGGACAGAGTCACTGGCTTTGTGGAACACATTCTGCAGGACTTGGAAGGCCTGGAGATTCTTAACGGTCACCCCTGAAGATGGACACAAGAACAATCACGTCTCCGCCCACATCTAGCAACAGGAGCTTGGGTTCTCATTGAGATGTGTGTCATTGAGAGTCCCATTTTCCTGCTCCCACACGCACATTATCTATCTGAAATGCAGGAAAGCCAGCCCACACTGGTTGTGAGGCAAGCTGGAACACATCATCTGAGACACGGTTCTCCAGCTGTGGCAGCTGTGGATTGAGCTACGCTGCGAGTGGATGAATGGGGAAAGGATGAATCAGACCTTACTAATGGTCGTTTCTATGGACCACAAGTAGAGATGGTAATATTTGGAATAGATTAAGTGAAATAAAAATGCATGCCCCGAAATAAGTTTAACCTGTGTTTTCTTACTATTTAAAAGTGCATTGTTTGGGACTGTACAGTGGCATAGCCAGCTAATCCTCTACCTGTGGGGCTGGCATCCCATACGGGTGCCAATTCATGTCCTGGTTGCTCCATTTTCAATCCAGCTCTCTGCTTATGGCCTGAAAAGGCAAGGGAGGATGACCCAAGCGTTTGGGTGGGAGATCATGAAGAAGCTCCTGTTCCCCAGCTTCAGATCAGCTCACTTCTGGCCATTGCAGCCATTTGGGGAGCCAACAGATGGAATATCCCTCTCTTATCTCTCCTCTCTCTGTAAAATCTACCTTTTAAATAAAAATAAATAATTTTTGAAAGTACATTGCATGGCTTGCTTCGTGTTTCCCTCGGACAACTCAGGGCTAGCAGAGTCAGACTCCATTGGTTCAAATCAAATGCAGTTGAAGAGGACCAGGCCAAGTCAGCTTCATTCCTTGACAAACTGGGAAATAAATCCTCTTTCCAGAACCTTCCCAGGCCCTCCCTCCAGCTCACAGGTTAAGTCCCATTCTCTGTCGCCCAGGAGACAGCCACTTGCTCAGCAAGCTCCCTGCTCCTACCCTCTCACCTGCCCCAACCTCACCCCTGCCCTGAGTGCCCCACGCCCTTGTACTCTGCACATGGTCCCTACAGCTCTGCCACCTCTCTGTCACCTTCACAGCACCTTTACTGCTTAATTTGCCCAGCTGTTTCCCTCCGCTGGGCCACTGGGTCTTCTCCAGGCTACCTATGCTGGAGAGAGCACCCGACCCCCTTCCCTCCACCTGCACAATCCAGCTTGAGCCCTCAGAATTCCCTCCAGGACCCCCAGGAGGAAACAGCAAGGACTCAAGGCTCTTGTCACCCCTGCAGGAGACCAGGATTGAGACCCTGGCTCCCAGCTTTGGCATCCACTGGGGAGTGGACCAGTGGATGGAAACTATTTGTCTCTCTGCTTCTCAAAAATTTAAAAAAAAAAAAATGGTGGTGGGGAGTCAGCATTGTGGCATGGTAGGTTCAACTTCCACCTTCAGCGTCGCATCCCATAAGGGAGCCAGTTCAAGTGGAGTCAGTTCCACATCCAATCCAGTTCCCTGCTAATGTGCCTGAGAAATTAGCAAAAGATGGCCCAAACCCTGGGGCTCCTGCACCCACATGAAAGGCCCTAAAGAAACTCCAGGGTCCTGGCTTCAGACCAGCCCAGCTCCGGCCATTGTGGCCTTGTGGGGAGTGAGCCAGCACAAACAAGATCTCTCTGCCTCTCTTTGACTCTCTGTAAATTTGCCTTTCAAAACAAAACAAAAAAGAAGAAGAAATGAATGTTTTTTTAAGACCCTAAGAAAAGTGTCAATTCTTGATCAGTTAAGTGACTTCATAGAGAGTGTGAATAAAGCTAGAACTAGGCACAGTGTCACCGGGTCCTTAAAAGACCCTGCAGCCAGCCCCACGGCACAGGGTTTCCTGACTGCCCCACCTCATATCATAGTCTGAAGCATTTGCCATCCACTTCTGCAGCAGACTATGGCTCAGTGCACGTGTGACAGACCCCTGGTCGGTTCACAGGGGCACCTCAGCATGGGGCAGAGAGCCTGCCGTGTGCCCAGAGCATCGTGCCTACTGTTTCAGTCCATCAACCAATCCATCACTATCCCCAGGTACTGAGATGTCACAGACCCTGACTGCCGAGTGACTGCTCCAGATCCCCATTATGCAAGCAAATGGGACCAAGTTAAAGTCACAACACAGGTGGGGGTGGTGCCAAAGGCCTCTTCTGTTATGTGGGAGCCTTTGCCTTATTAAAGCAATGTTTCTTCTCTGTTCTGCAGGAACCAAACCCCCTCGTAGTCACATCTGAGAAAAAACGTGCAAGGGAGCCCGTAAGAGCCACAGGGTTTGTCCGCCAAGATGACACCAGAATCAGACTCTCGGCAGCATTGGCAGGTGCACAACTACAGGATGGCCCCTGTAGCCTCTGTAGCCTCCCGCTCTTTCAGAGACATAGTAGCACCCACCTGACTCCTCGTGATTGAACTTGAAGCCTTCGAGTTGCGGGTAAGTGACGCTGTCAAACACCTTGAGCTCCGACCTCCCGCAGGTCGTCAGCCACACCACCAGACCCACGAGCTCCTCCAGGTGGGGGTCCGCATCGCCTGGTGCCTGCCTGTCATACCTGTGGGGACAGGTGAGGCTGGCTCTCTGCAGCTCTGCACAAACAGTGCAGCTCTGCCACGGTAGGAAAGACCCCAGGGGCAAGACATGTCAGCACCAACAGGGCAAGGGCCGAGGGCCCTAGCTAAACACCACTGCTTTTGCAGATCACAGCCTCGGGCCAGCCTTGGGCAATTCAGGGTTTCGGGCGGGCACTGACTATTTTAGGAATTGTCCTAATGGGAAAGGTGGTGGGGAGAGGGAGGGAGGCGTTTGTGACTAGCTGCAGCACCTGCTCCAGGAAGTCTGCTTTCCATGGCTGGACTCCCCCTATCTTCCCCCTAACACATCAAAAAATGTACCCGTCTCAGGCTCCAGCACAGCAAGGATACCGCCCAAAGGAGGCACTTTGTATTCTCAGAGAGAAGCAGCACGGGAGGGCGGGAGAGCACGGGTGCTTCTAGGCCCGTTCGTGCACTTGACATTGAGGTTGCTTAGCTTTCAGCTGCTCACAGTAGAGGATCTGCCTTGCTTCCTGTTGCAACAGGGCCCCTCAAGCCCCTCCCAGAGTGACAGGGTGAAAATTTACAGAGTGAGTGTATTCTGCAGTCACCAGTTGGGTTAGACTGACCCTCCTCCCCTAGGGAAGAACCAGGTGCTGGGAACTGAGCCCCATGAAAAGTGGAACCAATTTCCAAGAAGTTAAACTGTTATTATAACGACAGAATTGCTCATCTTGGCACTCACCTGCTTATTGTAGCTTCTATACCCTTGCTTGCCAACCAGGGTCAAGGCTACCAGGACGTGGGTTTTTTTTTCTTTTAAAATCTCACTGCCCTGACACATTAGGGCTGTCTCCCTCAGACCTGTTCTGAGTGGGGGCAGTCGCCAGTTGGCTAATAAAGATTCCCCAAATTCTAAATTGGCCTCGATGGTCTTTTATACGGTGCACTCCGTACCACCAGTTCTGCTGCTTCAGAATTACATGAGTGAGTGGGGACTGCAAACAGGTCCTTCCTGCCACTCCCTGGAGCACACTGCTTTCATCGGCCGCCATCAGGGTATTTCCTGGGTATCTACCCCCAGACCACTCCAGTCCCTAGATCCAAAGTGAGGATGAAAAAGTAGGCGGAGTGTAGGAAACCAGACTCAGCCAATGGCGTCTTTGTTTAAGCTTTCTACTGTCTGAGAGAAAAGGAGCCCAATTGGGAGTTGGTCCCAAAAAATGTCATTAGGGAGCCTGGCACAGTAACCTAGCGGCTAAAATCTTCGCCTTGCACGCCCCAGGATCCCATATGGGCACCGGTTCATGTCCCAGTTTACGGCCCCGCTTCCCATCCAGCTCCCTGCTTGTGGCCTGCGAAAGCAGTCCAGGATGGTCCAAGGCCTTGGGACCCTGCTCCTGCGTCGGAGACCCAGAAGAAGCTCCTAGCTCCTGGCCTCAGATTGGCTCAGCTCCGCCTATTGCAGCCATTTAAGGAGTGAATCATCAGATGGAAGATCTTCCTCTCTGTCTCTCCTCTCTGTATATCTAACTTTCCAATAAAAATAAATAAATATATTTTTTTAAACGCCAGTAGGGTAGAGGCTGTGGGAGACCGGGAGGGACAGGAAGCTGGTCTGAGAACATTACAGGGTGAGTGCCTCTGGGGCACCTGGCTCTCAGGACTCAGAGGCAGCACTGAGGGGCGGAGTCACCCAAGCAGCTCCCATTGGTCAAGATCAAGAGCAGCCCGGTTGGGAAGAAGCAGGGCTTATGGAGCCCCAGATGCTTCCATGTCTGTAAGGATGTGGGCGACACAGCTTGCAGCAGCTCCAGGAAACTCTCCAAAGCTGGCGTGTGGATCCTGACTGGAGGAACCCAGCCAACGGGCACACAGGGGGCACATTCCACACTGTGGGTTTGCTGTGGTGAGGATCGCCCCTTCATTCGCCAAGGCAGGGGTCCCCACACACTGGACAGCAATAAGGAGTCTGCTGTGGTTTGAGGAAGATTTGGCTCTCAATACACCTGTTTAAATCCTGAAATCCTAAGTTGATAAGACCAGGGTTGGTGCTTCAGCATAGTGAGTGAGGCCAGTGCCTGGGATGCCTGCATCTCATACGGACGCCAGTTCAATCCCCGGGTTCTCTGTTTCTAATCCAGCTCCCTGGTACCTTGCAAAGCAGCAGAAGATGGCCCCAGTGCTTGAGCCCCTGCACCCATGTGCAGACCCAGATGAAAATTCTGGCTCCTGGTTTCAGACCCTCTCCAGCCATTGCAACCAGTTGGAGAGTGAACAGGTGCATTGAAGATATCTCTCTCTCTCTAATCCCTAACTCTGCCTTTAAAATAAATAAAATCTATTTTTAAAAAAGTTAATGAGACAAAGAGGGGGCCCAGTGGGATGCCCTGAAGTTACCTGGAGCAGGTTCCTCATAGGTGGCATTGGTGAGGCAGTGGGTTGTAAGGTTACAACTAAAGCCTGAGTCAGGCCGGCTGCTCTGTCTGCTTCCCGACTGTCAGAGTTCTCCCTCTACCCACTCTCCAAGCTCCCCCATTCTTGCCAGGGACAAAGCAATGGGGCTGCAAGGGGAACAAAGCTCTTGTCTTCAGGACGTGAGCTTTCTCGAGTATCTGGCCACGGTACCAAGACACCAGCAAACACAAGGTCTCTCGCCACGCTCTCGAGAGCTTCCTCTATGCAAGACTTGCAGACACCACAGCGCCCATCTTCCTTCTGAGCAACGCCCAGCACCCAGGGACCCAGGCAGCTCCTGTACCCCTCCTCCCCACCCAGCCAGCCTCCCACGGACTCCGCCCACAGTCAGGCCCCGCCCCTCAGACTCCTCCCCACCCCACCAGGCCCTGCCTTTTACTGACTCCTCCCCACCCATCAGTCCCCGCCCCTTACAGACCTCACCCCACCCGCCAGGCCCCGCCCCTTACCGCAATAGCACTTTAAGCAGCAGGGGGTAGCCCTCGGCGTTCTCGAACTCCAGCAGCAGAGCCGAGGAGACAGGGTAGGCGTCCTTCACGAAGCCCAGGATCAGGCTGACAGCCTCGCTGGCCTCTGGCGCTGGGAGGGTGTCCACTAGGCGCGAGAGGTTCTGCAGCGAGAGCCGGACGCAGTCTGTGGCTGCGGGGGAGGCACAGCCGTGCTGAGTTCTGAAATGTCAGCTTTGGGGTACCCCACCTCCCCCACGCCCACCTCCGCATTAAACTGCACATGGAGGCACGAATGAGAATGAATGCATAACTTGGTCTACTGGATCATGGGCCGCAGCGCTATAGTGGATTGGGCAGGCTCCTGGCCTAATGAGCTCCCAGCCTCTCAGCAGGTTGATGTCTGCGCACCTGACCCCTGGCCAGGCAGCCCCAGAATTGCTGATCTGACCAGGATGCGCTGAGCTAGCCCTGCTGCCCTCCCAACTGTCCTCCCAACAAGTTCCCCACTGGGGGGAGTTAGGGGATATTTCTGATCTAACTGTGGCCTTAGGCAAGCTGAGACCAAGATCACATCCAGGGCCCATGCCTACAACCTCTCCTTCCCAGCCCTTCACTTGCTGGGAAAGACTTGGGCACAGCCTGACCCCGGCCCTGGCACTTGCGACGTCGTTGGGACTGTAATTACAGTCAGGATGGGAAGCAGACCCCGGGGCAGGCGCGCTGAACCTGTCATAGTGATGGGCTCAGACCATCAGTCCACCTAAATGTCCCCAAAAGACACCCTCTGGTGGGGTTGTCACAAGGGGTGGACTGTGTGTCCCCCAGGGTGGACTGCTGACTGAGCAGGTGGATGTCAGATGCAGTGTGTATGCTTGACTCATTGCAGAATCGCCACGGGCCAAGGACGGCAGCAAAGGGCTCTTATGCCCAGGCGAGAGCACCGAGGCACTCAGGCAGGAAACACCTAAGGCCACTCAGCTGTGAGGGCAAGAGCTGGAGGGCACACCCGGATGAGGGCATTAATCTGTACCCAAAAAAACATGTGCCCAGTGGCCCTTTAATAGATGTGGCACAGGAAATGGTTCCCCTTTTTTCCCGTCTCTCCCTCCAGTACAGCATTCACAAAAGGGGTTCCCTGCTGCCCACACAGGGTCCTGTGCTGGACCCAGCTGTTCATGATCATTCCCTTGGTTCCTGAAATGCACAGAGGCTCAGAGATAAAGTGCTATAGAAAAGAGGCCTTTGGCCTTGACTCCGGGCCTCCTGGGCATGGCCCCATGGCCTACCCTTGAGGTGCTGGATGATGCTAAGGTTCTGGGCCTGGGAGATGGCCCTCAGCACGCAGAAGGTGGGCTCTTTCCAGAAGCAGCAGCTGTGCTCCCGAAGGCAGGTGGTGGCGATCAGCAGAGACTGCAGCTCGCTGCCTGAGACCAGCCCCTCCAAGCCCCGGGGGTCGCCGCAGATGTTCAGCAGCATCTGGAGAGAGAACAGCTGGTCAGGGAGATTGGTCCTGCAAGGAGTGAGTGATCCCTCCTCCTCGGGAGCCCTGGTGAAGGGGGTCAGCAGGGAGCGATGAAGTAGATGGGACACCCCCGTGCCAACCGAGCCACTAAGGAGTTGGTGGCAGCCGAGGACCAGCCTGCATAATCACCAGACAAGTAACTGTGACCCTTTCTGAATCCCAGGAACACAGCCTTGGTGTGGCTTTATGTGGAACCACAGAAAATGCCACCAATCAGGAAGGCACAGAGTCATTTTATGCACTACGTAAAAGGAGCAGTCCCGGAATTCTGGGCTGGTACCCAAACCACAAGTTCTCTGAGGGTTTTCCTAACTGGATTCCCTGGTCCTGTCAGCCCAGGATCTCCCCATGCTAGTAAAAGAGCTTCCCATAGCTTCTTGTGCACTTAGGATAAAAACCAAATACCCTTGCCTGTGTTGAGGGGGTCTGGCATGGGTGAGCCTTGCCTTGGGGTCCTGGGCTTCCAACGGGACCTGCTTCCAGTTGGGTGAATGTCGTGAGCTCTCTCCTTGCTTCAGACCCTTCTGGCCAACTGCCAAAGCTGGCAGCTGTGTGCCGGGGTTACAGCTCCCACTCCCAGGCTCCCTTGCAGGATGGTGTGGTCACGTGACCAAGTGCTGGGCCTGGATGACTACTGCTCTGCTCCTGTCCCTTCTGCTCCCCACTCACTGCCACCTTCTCTGAGCCCTGTAGACCCGCAGCTCTGTTCGATGCAAGTCCTCAGGGCATGACCCGTGTTTCCTCAGGATCATTTCCTAGCGCATGTCACACTATCTGCTCACCTCACTTTAAAAATCGGGGGCAAGCGTGGCAGTGCAGCAAGGGAGGCCACCATGTGGGATGCCTACATCCCAAATCAGAGTGCTAATAGAAGTCCCAGCTGCTCTGCTTCTGACTCGGCTTCCTGCTAATGCTTCCAGGAGGAAGGCAGTCGATGATGGCTCAAGTGCTTGGGTCCTTCCTGTCTGTGCAGGAGATCAGATGGAGAAGGCCCTGGCACGATGGTCTAGTGGCTAAATCCGCACTTTACATGCACCAGGATCCCATATGGGCACCGGTTCATGTCCCGATTCATGGCCCTGCTTCCCATCCAGTTCCCTGCTTGTGACCTGAGAAAGCAGTAGAGGACAGCCCAAAGCCTTGGAACCCTGGCCCCTACAAGGGAAACCCGGAAGAAGCTCCTGGCTCCTGGCTTCAGATTGGCTCAGCTCCAGATGTGGCAGCTGCTTAGGGAGTGAACCAGCGGATGGAAGGTCTTTCCCTCTGTCTTTCCTTCTCTCTGTAAATCTGCCTTTCCAATAAGAAATAAATAAAATCTAAAGAAAAGAAAAGGAAATCAGATGGAGTTCCTGGCTCCTGGCCACACCATGGTCATACCATGGCCAATGCAGGCATCTGCAGAGTGATCCAGTGGATAGCTGCCTTTCAAATAAATCAAGCCTTTAAAAAATGGTAATTATGTGTTGTATTTTTGGGATGCTTCCCTCCTCTGTCACCTCTAGGAATTGAGCTATTTCAATTGCAGCAGTACCCAGCGGTGCGCATGGAGCTCTGCACTGAAGGAGCTTGTGTAAACACTCCTTGTAGGATTGAGTAGGGAGGGCCCTTAGAGGAACAGGCACACTCTGTCCCAAGGGCCTTGAAGGCGGAGCTGCCCTCGGTTCAAGTCATGTGGTAAAGACGAGCTCAGGGCAGTCTCCAGGTCACCACTTGGAATTCACTTATAGATGCTAAAAGGCTGCTAGGGCTCAAGAAAGCAGCTCAGGGCAGAGCCTGCCTCAATGGAATCTTCCAGATCATGTGGAAATGATGATTCAGCTTCAGAATTAGTCTGAAGTGGACATTGATGAGTGCGTGAAGACGATGGCCAGTTGTGCTTGGGAGGTCACCGAGGGCTCACCAGCATCTGCCAGGTTTGAGACCCTCCCTTAGGTCCTGCATACACAGAGTAAAAGCCCACAGCCCCTGTACCGTTGGCCAGGGGGGAAATGAGAGACAGGATGTGAGGAATGATTCCAACATCCCATCTTGGACCCTGCTTCATTTCCAGATTCCCCTTCCTCACAGCTGGCGAAATGTGTGCCTTTCCGGTTATCCACCGATCAGAAGTAACCTGGCGCCTTACTTGAGAATCCCACTCCCCAATCTCTCCGGCCCCTCCACCTAGTCCACACTCTCTGACTTGTGGCTCAGATAATCTGTCACTGGTCCCACACAGCCCCTCCCTTCTCCTCCCCCTCCTTCTGCTGTCACTCACCTGCACAAACATCCTCTGGACTTGCACGTCACCATCAGAAGACTCCTCCTTTTCCAGAGGAAAGACGAAGAAGAGGTAAAGACAGCGCAGCAGCAGGGCTGGAAGCCCAGACTCAGCCACTCTGCCCAGGGACTCCTGCAAGGGAGGAACACACCCTGTAACCCGGGACGACAGGTGGCAGGGGCTGGGGGAGGTCACATTCAATGGACAAGTCCCTTCCTGTCTCCTCTGGCTCCGCGTTCTCGAGCGTGAGGTGTACACACTCAACAGACATGGCCACGGTGCCTGTGAAGATCCGGTTCACGCAAGGGTCGCCCAGGTGTGTTTGGTAACTGTTAACTCTCAGTGAGTTAGGGCAGCAAGGGAGGGAGAAGTTGGGAAGAGAGCAGCTCAGGAAGAACCCCAGATGAGCAAGGGAGGCAGGCAGTGTGTGTCTGGGGCAGCAGCAACAAAGCTTTCAGCACTGCCCTCTCCATCCTCAGATTCAGATCCCAATCTCATCCAGCAGGTGGCCAGTAACACCCAGGTGTCAGAGAAAGGCCTAGAGCATGGACCCCAGCCTGGTGGAGCAGCTCTGGGGCAGTTCTGGGGCAGTTGTTCCAACAGCTTCACCCAGGTGACTGTGGCTGTGACCTGTGTGTGTGTGTGTGTGTGTGTATGCGCGTGAATATAAGCACGTGTGTATAAAACAGACAGGAAAACGTGTTGGCTCAATGCAGGATGCTGTCCATGCCACCTCCCATCCAGTTGGCCCCCATAGCAAGCACGCGGGTAGAGAAAAAGGAAGAACTGGGAATACAAGGCAGGAGGCTGGGTTTGACCTTCCCCCTAGAGGTTTTCCAGTTCCAAGACATCTTGCTGTCTTCATCTGGCTTGGCCATGACCTCCTCAGCACAGCTCTCCCTGGTTACTGCACAGACACCCTCCCCACCCTCCCTATGGCTGCTCTGTTGTTGGAAAATAAGCCCCTGGGGGATCATTTGTCACCATGGGTCCTGGAAGGGGTCATCCCCAGGGGACAGGCAGGCCTTGGCTCAGGGCTGCAGGCTGTGTGTCTGACCATAGTTCAGGCAGTCCACATGGTAGGAAGGTCCAGAGGTCCTCCCTTCAACTGGCTTCTGAACCCAGGCTCCACTCCTGCCCAAGCGGCAAGTTGCAGGCCGTGCTGCCATCACAGCTCCAGATCTAGCCACATGCCACCCCTTCCCTGGGGACAGCACTGCCCTGTCTGGCTCCCTGACCCTGGCGCTAAGTGCCATTCTGTTCTGACGTACATGACGTGCGGCAGAAGCGGAGCCTTGGGGAGACAAGGCACCCCATCAGGTTCAGGAAAAGAAAGACACTGGGGACTTCCCCCTGCCCATGGGCGAGGGCTGGCAGCGGCCCCAGAACTCACCGAGTCTGTCCCCGTGAGCACATATGCTGACTTCAGCAGCAGGTACCCATCCTGCCCTACGTCATCCTTCCATCGCAGCAGCTGCCCAGCAGCAACCCGTGCCTGTTCTGGGAAGAAAATAGTGTCACCTGTCAGGAGTGAGCCCATCTTCCCTCGGTCCCCATGGCAGGTGCCAAAGCATCAGCAGCAGGCTCCTCCTGCCCGCGCACACCCAACCCCACCAAGTCCACCTGAATCAGAGCCAAACATTTTGTCCTCCGGCCCCTTGAAGGGTAGCCTGGGTGGTACCAACCTGCCTGTTTAGTAGCAAGATCTGGGTGCTAGCCCGCAGGCCACTGAGCAGCAGGTGCCTCTGATGCTAGTTCTCCTGCCCAGAGATCCCAGACCTGATGGTGTGTCTGTGAGTTTTGTGTGTCTGCAGAGTCGGTGGACTCTGTTCGTAGCTTGATGTGTGCAGTGTGTGCAGTGTGTCTGTTTTGCATACGTAAGTGTGAGGGTAGTTTCTGTGTCTTCATAACTGTAAGTGTGCAGTGCACATCTGTGAGTGTGCAGTGTCTGTGTGTGCAGTGCGTGTGTATCCGCACGTACATCTGGACTTGTGTGTGACTTAGGAGCAGCAGTGTTCTCCAGCCCTGGCCTCCTCCCCTGCCTCTGCCTCGGCCCTCAGGCTCTCAGAGGCAGAGTGGGGACCATGCTGTTTGGCATGCTGGATCTGAACTCCAGGAGAAAGCAGAGCGGGGCTCAGAGAGACTTGGGGGTGGGGGGCCCACGCAGCCGCTTCCTCCCTGTGAGCTCCCTTACCTGCAGGCTTCCCAGCCAGGGCGTTCTGTATCTCCTGGGCAAGCTGGTCGGAGACGTCTTCTGCCAGCCTTTGGAGACTGGGGAAGCAGATGATGCCCACTGAGTGTTCCCAGGCCTGCAGAGCAAGCACACAGAGGCCAGAGTCATGAGTGATGCCAGCAGGACATGAGAACGCCTCTGTTGCCTCCTTGTGCACCCAAGCCCAGAGGCACCCAAAGGAGCCCTGCTCTCACAGCCCAGCCATTGTCCTCACACCAACGCCTCCACATTCAGGAGTTTCCTGCTGTTCTGGGAGGTTGAGCACACAGTACCCGACCCCACCCCTTCCCCAGGCCTGCTCCACCTTGCATTGGTCAATGATCCCCCCAGTGTCCTCACGGAAGTTCCAAGCAGGCCCTCCCTCCATCTCCTCCCACCTTTTCCTCCTCTCCTTAACTCCAAAATCAACCCCTTTATCTCACTGCCTCGTTTCTCATACAGTTCTCAGAGCTGGCAAAAAACACCTTCATTTCACTTGCTCGGTTATGTCTTACTGATAAATTCGGAGAGGGATATGCTACCTAAAGAATGCACTTTGTTTCCTTCATGCTTTGGGTTGTGTGATCATACACCCCCCCGGTCAAGGGCAACACGCTAGACTCTGTGGGCAACGTGGCAGAGAGCCAGTTCCTTTCCAAGCCAGCCGGCAGTGAGCAGGTCCTGCTCTCACATGTTTCATGAAAACTCTCAGAGAGGAAAAACGACACCTCAACTCCATGGCAGTGGGCTGATCGTCGAGTGGGTAGCACTTTCATGCTTCTCAAACAACAGGTCTTTCTTCTCAGTTTATTCACCTGTTAGAAACATCCTTATTTTCTTAGTTATTAAAAAAAAAAAGACAATCTCTACATGTAGATTTTTAAAAAGTTAACCTTTTGATCTATGACATAGGTGAAGCTGTTTTGAATGTTGTCAGTTTATCTTTCTGTATCATGCCGATTTTGGTATGCGTGCTGCTGAAGCGAGCACCATCATTTTGTCTTTCAATCCACTGCATTTGAATTCACCAAGAGATATCTGAACTTCAGGCCAGACCAAGTGTCTATCCTTTTGCTTTCTGGCTTCCAAAAAAAAAAAAAAGACTTCCCTAGTCCGGGATGCTATTTCAATGTCTTCTCTTTCAATTTTCTTCAATATTTCCTTATCTGTCCCTTCTCTATTTCTACCACACCTGCTCATCATTTTCCTCCACTTTCTTAGGATGCAACCTGGTAGAACACAAGGCTTTTCAAATTCAACCTGGAATGCACACCTCTTTCAGAATTCTCTCTCAGTTACCATAGAAATCTTGTATATGTCTGCATCTCACTGGCGTCACTGGGCAGGTGTCCTTTCCCCTACTGATGGGCGAACAGGTCAAGTTCGCCTAACCCAGACCCAGGTCAGAGAGGCATGGCTACCCTTAGCCCACCACTCCAGTGACCGCCAGAGAGGAAAACTGCTCTGCACACTGCTAGTTCTCAGGAGCCCCCATAAGCTGCCATTGTGCTGGGCCACCACCCACTCAACACCCACTCACCCAACCACATGTGGCTAAGCTCCTGCCCAAAGGCTTTCCTGCACTTCTTTTTTTTTTTTTTTAAGCTAAATTCATCTATCTAGAAAAGGGGAGAGAGCATCAAAATCCCAACGTGTATGGTGTTTTCTGGCTGTGACACCATGAGAAGAAGCAAAAGCTTTTCAAGTCCACTCTTTACTGAAAGACACCAGCAATGGGCAGTAGCAAGCCACAGATGAGGATCAGGATTCAGACCCCTATGAACGGGTAAGAGAAAAGACAAGCCATTGATCTACAGAACAAGGAACCAAGGAAACCGTGGATGTTTATACAGGATACACAGCAAATGAGCCAGAAGATGCAAGACGAAAGCTCCATCAGGTATTTCATACGTTCTGTGGTGTCAGAGATGAAAAGGCTGACAAAAGGGGAAAACCTGGGTGACCACGGGCCTCTGGGTTTCATGGACAGAGTGGACCTCTGAAACAGAAGGAAAGAGCTGAACGGAAGGAGCCAGCTGGAACAGTCTCCTGGAGGATGAATCTCTTAAAACCTGTGCAAGCATATTCCATATTGCCAGTGCGTGTGTCTGTGTCTAACACATGTTCACATCCAGACCAGGAAAGAGGGACCCAAATCCAACTTGCCACTGGAAGGGGGAGGAATTGGCTTCTGCTATGTGAACCTGGCGGGTTTTGGTTTATCTGAAAACTGTATTTCTTGGGGCTGGCACCATGGCTCAGCAGGCTAATCCTTCAAGTGCTGGCATCCCATATGGGTGTTGCTTTGTGTGCTTGCTGCTCCACTTCCCATCCAGCTCCCTGCTTGTGGCCTGAGAAAGCAGAGAAAACAGCCCAAAGCCTTGGGACCCTGCACCTTCATGGGAGATCCGGAGGAGGCTTCCGCCTCCTGGCTGTTGGCCTCAGATTGGCTCAGCTCCAGCTGTTGCAGCCATTCAGGGAGTAAACTAATGGATGAGAGACCTTTCCTTCTGTTGTACTTTCTCTGTGTATATCTGTCTTTCCAATAAAAATAAATAATTCTTTAAAAAATAGTTCTTACTGGATACAGCTGACCCTTTCTTTCGTAAGTTAAAAGTTAAGAAGCAGGGTATTTTTACCTTGGCAAAAATCATCAAGATGGTAAATTATTAGTAAACCCCATGGAGCATAGTAAGTCTTCAACAAATATTTGACAAGTGACTAAAACAGTCAGGAAACCTGCAGCACACAGTCCTGATGGGCACGCCTGTGTGCAGGTCTTGGACCCAGTCCTGGCTCAAGCACGGACCTTCAGTGCTCGTACAGGTTCTCACCACAAGCCCTCACCACTCTCCAGAAACAGCAAATCCTTGGTCCACAGAAAAGAGTGGAAGAAAGGACACCTCAGTCCCTTCCCCTCCACCTCACAGTCGAGATGCACACTGGTTCTCAGTTCTTTTGCTGAGATGCCTGTCAGGCCTGCCCAGTGTCTTCTCTCCACTAGACCTGGGCACCTGGCTTGCCCCAGTCTGGATACCTTCTCCCTCTCAGTCTGGTGAGATGCCCATTCCTTCTCAGGGACACACCCCTCACCAAACCTTGCTGCTTGATTACCACTCCTGTCCGTCTCCAGCCACCTCTGCCAACACAGTTACAACATTCCCAGCTACCACCTCAGGACCAGATGTTCCTCCCACACTTTAATCCCTGGCCACAGAAGGCTATTCCTGCTGCCTGGGAATTTCTGTGGGCAAATGATTTCCCTCCCTTGGGCCCCAGAACTCTGCTACAATGTCTCTCTGACAAATGCTGGTGCCTCTCCCCTGCCCTGGCAAACCCCAGGAAGACCAATTTGCCAGCAGTTGACTCAGAAGCAAGCATATTGTCCCTGGAGCAGAGGGATTCCACGAGGCACTCCACAATAAAGCAAATGGGGCCGCTGTGAGTTGAGCAGTAATTGTACTTGGAGCCACACATCCCAAGGCTCCACTCCTTCCTAGGGCAGGGACAGCCACTGCTTGAGGCTGCATTGCCTCCTTCAGGCCACTAGGGTACCCTTGATGGCCCAGAGCCAATCATTCACGAAATGGTACCATGGAGATCTCCAAGAGTTAAGACAGCTTCCAAGAGGCCTTTATATTTTCCCATCCAAACTGGGACTTGCGTGCTGGGAGAATATTGCTCAATACTTATATATGTTTTTTAAAAAAAAAAAACTTTTCTTTACTAATATTAGACAAGCTGCACCACCATTCCTGGTAGCTGTCCCCTCACACAAAAGGAAAAGCAAGAAAATGATGCTGGGGTCTCCGAAAGAAAATCAAGAATGACAACTGCTCTTGGAGGAGATAGGAAACAAGATCTCTCTGGATAACAAAGAGGACCTGCTTGGCTTGCCAGCAGGATCGTGGTATTTCCACAGAGTTGGGGAACCCAGTCTGGAAATGAGATCAAGTGTTACCTGGTGAATTAAACAAAAGAGCAGTGCTCTGAACTTGGCAAAAACAACAAAAAAAAATGTTCCTCAAAATTGTGGCTACAGCAACCACTGCAGGGTGGGGTCGAGTTGGGAGCAAGCAAGGAGAGCAGTTGACCCTCACAGTCCATTGTCCACACTCTGGACAGCATCCTTGAAATTCCAAACGGTCTTCGAACATCCCTGGAAAACACACATGATGAAATAACCGCATAGCTCTCCAAGGCTTTTGCCCCCAAATAAGTTGATCTTTTCATTCCAAGTTCCTGATAACTTTCTGAAGCCGTATCACAAGGCTTGGACATCCTTGTTTGAGATTCAGTGGCTCGCGGCTTTAGTTGTCACCTAGCTCCCACACGTGGTTTTTCCTGGAATAAAGGGCCATACTCAATGACATAATCCCTACAGAATTAGCTGTGGACTCAGCCTGACAATACATATGCAGGCATGCATGCCAGTGTACACACACACACACACCACCTCTAAGAACTACCAGTTTCATGCTTATTTCAACTCTGCCCCACTAGCTAAGGAAGACAAAGAGAACCACTCCTCTTCTGGTCTGAAAAGGATTTGGCTTCCTACACTCATGCAGATCTTTAAATCCCAAAGTCTTAAATTCACGGTCAATGGATGAACATCAAATTGATGAGGGTAGAATAAGGGAGGAGACTTGATCAAATTTTGGAGTCCCTTGGAAGGCATTTCTCAGAAGAGGATTGGTTCTTTAAGGAGACCATGCTCCCTGAGTTTCTCTGTCTCTGTCTCTCAAACCCTCTCTCTATTTCTCTCCCTCTCTCTGTCTGTCTGTCTCCTCCCTCTTTCATCAAAAGATCACCCCTCTGTACACATTTTGTCATTAGATGCCAGGTTGTTGGGGCTGCCCAACCTTAGATTACGAATGTCCAAATCTTAAACTGAAACAAAACCCCTTTCCTAAGCAGCTCTTCTCAGTTACCTTAGTCAAAGTAGCAAAAATCTAACAATTGCAACTTCTAGGACAGCCCAGTTGGAGCTGGCTGTGAGCAAGCTGCACCTGCAGCTACAGGGTCTCACAGGCTTGTGTGGGCTCCCTTACAACATGACAGTCTGGGTTTCAGAGTGAGTGTTCAGGGTGACCA